GGCCGGCCCGCTCAGGGCGCAGCACGAGCATCGGCTGCGCGCTGGCCTCGGGGCTGAGAAGGGCTGGGCCTCGGGGCTGGGGAGCAGAGGCTGACGTGCCTGCCTGGAGACCGCCGTGGGGGGTGGCCTGTGAGGCGGCGTCCTGTCACTTTCCCGTAATAGGGGAGGGTTATGCATAAATGATCAGCCCGGGCCTGGCCTCTGCCAGGTCTAAGTGGCCGTCCGCGGCAGATGGCCAGGGGTCGCCCACCCTGCGGGAGTCACCGAGCAGAGTTGACCGAGCAGTGCCCAGCGGCTCTGAGTGCCGGGGCCGCTGCTTCCTGCCTCTGGAGGAGCCCAGGGGCAGGGGCCCTGGGCACCGGAGACGGCGTGGCACCGCACGGCGCTGGCTGGGCGCGAGGGCAGCCCCTGACGCCAGGTCGGCGCCCGCTCCCCGTCCTGCACGGGCGTGCTAGGAGAACGTGCCTGTCAGAGCCGCAGGAATGCCGCGCATGGTGTCTGGGGCATTTTGGTTCATGGTTTTGTTCATTGCATTTAATTTTTCTGATGCTAGAAATGCCACTTAGGAGCTAAATCCCTTTTTCAAAGACAGGGCAGCGGGTAGGAGTTAGCTCCGTTCCCCACCCACGGGAAGTTTCTCTCGTCCGCCCAAGTGTGGTTACACGGTCCCTCAGCCTCGACCTTGGACAGAACACAGCCCGTGTGTCCATCCCCGCCCGAGTAAACAGCACGGGGCCTTCTGGAGGGTCCAGTCAAGGTCCAGACGCTGCCCGCTCTGGCTTGGCGAGGCCGCCTGGCTGACGCAGAGCCTGGCACCGAGGCGGCAGGAGGTTCAGGCGCAGCCCTGGGGCGCCCGGGCGGGTGCACGGGCAGCGCTGGGCCGCGGCAGGTGGATCCGCAGAGGTTCCCCGGGGCCGAGTCACCAGGGGCCTGCCAGGCTGCTGCCGCGTGAGCAGGGGCACGGGTGCCGCCCCTCGCGCGGGGTGACCCGGCTGTGTGTTTTCCAGCAAGGAGCTGTGGCCCATCATGGATAAGTGGATAAAGTACAGAAAGGGGCACGCCAACGTTGCCCGCACGCCAGACGTCATCGTGGCGTCGGTGCTCCGGCTCATCGGTGAGTGCGTCCCGCCCGGCGTGCCGGGGCGCAGGCGGCCAGACCCCGCGCCGCA